GGGGGGGGGGGGGGGGGGAGAATTAGGTTTATTGAAAACGTAACGTTTCGAAGGGAATATTCAGTGGAGCGACTCTTACCCAGTCCTTTAAAAAATCTGTTGACACCACTTGGCTCAGGTTCTGGGCACGAGTCCAAATACTCCACTACTCTGGTTTCAAAGAGTCCTGAAAGGAAAAGTGAAACGGAGACGTCAACAAGAGAGACTTCCTGCAGGAAAAGCTCAATTCAAATGTAGAACATTCTGTTTCAATTTCAGGGAAAAGTGTGTAAATGAGCAGRGTAAACTGATGAATGTGTATCAGGTGCATGCCTACGAGGAGAGATTAGCATAATTACCACCCTAAAAACACCATATAAGGCTACATTTCCTGCCCAACAAACCAGGAAGTGTCCGTTCATAAATGACATCGCAAAGTAAAAAGAACTTCACGAGTTCGGAGACTGAAGTTCTGCTCTCAGAGATCCAGAAAAGAAAATCTGTCATTTTTAGCAGAGTCAGCTGTGGAATTAAAGGAGCTGCTTAAAGCCGAGGAATGAAATGATTGATGTTAATGTTGTGTCTCCTGTGGGTCGTACAGTCACAGAAATAAAAATCTAAATCATATTCATCTTTCTCTAGTCCTGCTCTGGTTTTCCTTTAGACATATATTTTTAATTTAAGTGTAAACAACTGTTACCTAGTTTTCATTTATTCAGAAGAAGAGCAGTCGAGCACCGCCCCCCCGCGCAAGTATGCGTTTCTGAATAAAAGCTTTTTAAAATGTCTCCAAACTTCAATTAACTTCACATTAATATTGGAGTGCTATACAACAGTATTAATAGCCAATTTAATTTAACCATTTTATGTCATTAGTCTACATTATTACATTTAAAATTATAATTCCAGTCAAACAGAATAACCTACTGTCAACATAATTATGGAGTGTGATTTATTTTCAACTCAAAATATCTTCAAACTACTGAAATATAAAGTTATTAATGAGAAAAACCCATCTGGATAACAGCAGACTGACTGCACGTACAATATAAGACAGGTCTGGACCACTCGTGAAT